CCTACAAATCTGAGACCTCCTATTTTCACTCCCAGCAGACACTTCTGGCACCGTCTGTTCCTGCAGACGTGTTGCTCAGTGAATAGTCCCGCCGGAGCCGGGGGAGCCCTGGTGTGTCACTGCCCTGGGCGAGGGAGACACGGTGAGAAGGAAGGGGCAGTGGCAGAGCAGGAGCCTCTCTTACAACCAGCACATCTCACAGCACATCTCCTCCGCCTCCCTTACAACCCGCTCGCAGCCACCAGCCCGAGCACGCCGCGGGCAGGCAGGTGCCGGGAAGGGCGGGCAGGTGGGAAGGGGCTGGCATCCCTCTGCATGGGCACGGCGGCTCTGGCCCTCTGAGACACCCAAGCAGTAAGAAACCTGTAACAAGAGCTTCCTTCTAAAAAATGTCCTTGCTATAATTTAACTTTTTTCTCTTGGCAGCACCCTCCTGTGCACAAGAGCTCTGCCATGACACGGTATACGAGCAGCAAACTTCAATGCCCACAGTTGCAATAGCAGAAAAGAGATAATTGCACTTCTTACAGCAGCAGTAACTTAACTCGGGGAAACTTTTGCTGCTAATGAGGCTCTTCTGGTCTGAAATTCAGCCAGAGTTGAGAGGGCTGGTCCTGCTGCCAGCTGGTGGCGGGTACAGGGAGAGGGCAGGCAGGTGTAAGAAAAGCAGCCCAGAAACCACTGCCAGCATCCCAACCTCACCACTTTGCAGCTTACTGGAGTTTAGTTTTCCAGTGTTAGCACTGTACCAGTGAGCTGGCTTGCATTTATTTCTCTTTTTAAAAAAAAAATCCTACTATATCAGCTATTGTCTGCCTCCTCTTGCCTTTGGCTACATGCTGGTTTCAAGCACCTCCTGGCAGAGCTGCACCTGCCATCCCATCCTAGGCCTCTGTGGAGGATTTTCTGCATCAGTGCCCACACGCTTGCAGGTCCCAGGGAGCCCGTGGCTGGCACTGCCAGGAGGGACTGGGGACAAGCGTCTCTGCTGATGAGTGCCAGCTGCTGAGCGGGTCGCCTGGGCTGCAACAGCTGGAGGCAGAGGTAGCAATTTGTGTGCTCACCTGGAAAGGCAGACATCCTCCCATCCCTTGCAGAGCTGCTGAGAAACTAGCTCCTGGCTTTTCTCCTAGAAGTTTAACACCACCATGCTTGAATTACAAGGAGAAGATGCAAAATCCCCTCCCTCCCTTGTCCAGGCATGCCCATGGCAGAGCCAGAGGTGAGCCAGGTCTACAGGAGAGCCAGCTTCCAGGGAAATGCTTGGAGGGTGGTGGTTGCACCCAGCTGGAACTCCATCTCCCCTTTTTCAGGGACCTGCAGGACCATGTCCACAGCGTGGCTGTGCTCTGGCACAGCCACTCGGTGCCCAGCACGGCTCAGGGCAGCCTCACTCCTCATCAGCATGCCAGGCACACGCATCCCAGCAGCATGGGAACACTCTCCCTGAATTCAATCCATGCACCCAAGTGGTGGCAGCAGGAAGGCTTGGAAAAGTAGAGCGAGAAAAGCAAAAGGGATGGAGTCCTGAAGCCCACAGCTGAGCACAGCACGGCATCTCAGGCTGCAAAGCCAAGGCTGTCAGCATCGCTCCAGTTACCTGCATGACCTTGAGAGCCCGAGACAAGCTGCAAAGATGAGAGGGAAAGCCTCTGGCAGCAGCTCTGTGTGCTCCTGGGGACAGGGAAAGTCAGTCAGGGTACAGAGGGGTGGGTGCTGTTTGGGATGTGCCACCCCAGCGATGGAGCTTGCCAGATGGGCCAGGCTGCTTTTACCTCTGTCTCAGCTCCTTCTCCAAAAACGCAACTCACAACCCTGAGCCTTCTTTGCACAGCACATCAGTGGGGCTTGGATTCTGTTCCCACATCAGCACGTGTGTGGGAAGAGGTGAACACCCCACGTCACTCCTCTCGGACTCAGATCTTGCACAGGGCAGCAGCGGGAGGAGGGGGTGGGCTCTGCCTGCGTTCTCTGGAGGGAAGAGCAGGCAGCCCTCCCTCTGCCATGCAGGAGACACTGCCAGATCACAGCGTGCGTATCTTGAGAGCTCAGAATAAATATTTAAAGATGGAGAAAAAAAAAAAAATGCTCCTCTCTGAGAGCAAGTTCTCAGTCTTTGCTCTGGGATTTGAGGCAGAGACAGACAGAAATATGACAAAGGAGACGCAGGTTTCAGCAAATCATGGGCACATCAGAAACGATGGCTTTCAGATCCCAGCTTTGGTGCAAGATAAATTCCCTCCTGGCCGTATGCCTGACAACCCCGATAGCCCTCGGGGACTGCAGGTCTGCTTTCCCTGCAGACACATGCGGCTGCAGTGAGCCCACCTCCTTATACCCATCCACCCCAGAGAATGTCCAGCCAGTGATGGGAGCCAGGATGTTACCCAAATCCCTTTCCAAGCTAGTTAAAGCTGGTCCTGGCCCACTGGCTATGTGTGTTCCCTCCTTGCCCTGTCCTGTGTGGATGCACAAGGCAATAGGCTTTACACCAGGGTGTTGGACAAATGCTCCCAAATCCCCACAGCAGAGCTCTGTCAGAGGAGCAAACCACAGCTCCACTTTCTCAATGCCTCACATGGCTGGGGGGAAGGATGGGAGGTGAAAGCTCCGCTCAGCTCTCTATAGCTTGTGCTAGGCCATCACTTGAGGCAGTGGCCGGAGCAGCCACAGAGAACGGGCTGTTCTATATAGCAAGGCTGTCCTCAGGATGCTTTTATTTCCAGAGAGAGCTCATTAGCTCTGGTTGTGCAGGAGTTCAGGCTTTTTTTCCCCTGTTACCAAGAGCTGGAGAACTCCCCTGAATAACATCTCTGAGCATGGGTGGAACAAAGACAGGGCACGGGGGGAGAGCAGTAACAAAACCAGAGATAATCAAAGCTGCTGCTGCAGCCTCGCATCACTTATGATCTCCGTCTCGTTTGGATTTCCCAGCTGGAGTAGTCTCTGCTCGCTCAGCCCCCAGCGGCACCCAGCAGCCTCCTGCGTGCCAGGGCTGTGCCCTGCCCCGCTCACCCCACCGGCGCAGACTGCAGGGCTTGTCCAGAGCTGGCTCTGCTCAAAGGGGGAAGGAGCTGCAGAGAAGGGTTTGAGATGGCAGGGAACCTGATTCAAGGCTCTCCGGGATCAGCCTGCTGGATCGGGTAGGAGCCAGGGGCTAAAGGGACTTGTGCAAGGCATGGGGGAAGGCTCCGTCCCTGGCACTGCTACGAGAGGGGTTTAACACAGGCACATCCTACCCAGGGTGGGTGCTCAGGGATGCTCCGGCAGGGATGCCCTGCCAGGATCGGTCTGGAGCAGCCACCTCTTTACCAAGCCCTGATGCTCCTCTCCCATCGCTGCACGGTCCAGCACACTCTGCAGGGGATGCAGCCAAGAACACACGTACCAGTACCGACTGCAGGAGATAAGCCAGCTCTCCAGATATGATCACAAGCCCCATTATCTCCTTAACCCTTATGCAATTCACTTACCCATCCCAGATCTATTCCTCCTTATCTAAATCGTCCTCCTGTTCTTTCCCATCTCTTGTCCTGTGGTCGCTTTGGGAGCATCGCAGCCTCCCCAGTAGCAAGGGAGGCTGCAGGAGAGCCCGGTGCCCCAGGCTGCCACTCACCACAGCTAATGGGATAGACTCCGATTGACTGGCCCCAGCGATTTAAAGTTAATAAAATGTTAAAAGCAGCCCTATAAATCACCCATGCAGGAAGTGACCTGGACAGGAGGCCTAACGAGTTAGCAGAGGGTTTTATTTAAAAGCCATTTGTCTGAGAAGTGCAACACAAAGAGTCAAATAACTCTTAGGAAAACAGCAGTGCTGGAGCTACAGGGAGGATTAGATCGGGCTGGATATTTATGGCTGAGGATGTCAGCCTTAGCAGTGCTAACAGGCCCTTGCTTCCCTGGCTGGAGGGCAGGAACTGATCCCAGCTCCAGAGGTGCGGGCAGGGAGCTTGCAAAGGGAAACAGGACAAGCCAGACCCCAGCTGTGACTTATGTTTGTAGCTCACGGGAGCCATTGCAACCCTCTCACGAACCTCCCGAAACAGGAGGCTTATGCCCAAGCCCACCCTGCGATAGGCTGGTGACATCTTCCTCCAGGCCCCAGCTCCCCTGCGCAGGGGCTTACACACACGGAGAAGTCACGATTCTCATGTTACCGCAGACAGCTAAGGCCTCTGTTTGCAAGATGATGTTTGAAAACAAGAGGCTCAAAAACCTCAAAACACAAAACAATCACAGAAATCGAGTTTTTTCTTATTTCTAAACCTGTTTGCCACTCCTCAGCTATGAATACTGATTTTGTGTCCATCAGGAGGGCAGTTAGCCCCACATCGGCCTCCTCCCCACCTCACTCCCTGAAAACCAAGCTCTACTTTAACCTTAAAATAACCCCTACTGCAAAGTGCAAAGCACAGAGGAGGGTGTTTCACTGGGACAGGGGCTCAGCCCCCTCCCAACCAACCCCCCCACAGCCACTCCTCGCTCCCCCACCACAGGAAGCCTCCAGAATACCCCAAAGGCCTTTTACAGTGGGAGGAAAGGCGGCGCGTGCTTGGGAAGCCTCCAGAGCATCGTTAAGAAATAAATTATAGACAATTACTATCAAAAGTACATCAGGGAAGCAGAGGCAGTGGCAAGGCACCGATCCCACCCAAACCCAGCTCCTTGCAGCAGCCCAGGCTACCTTCTAAAACTACAAGCAAATTCACAGATGGGATATGGTCTGCAAGCAACGGGTTACATCAGGAGCTGCCCCACCTTCAAAATCACCTTTTAATCACAAGACAAGGGCAGTTCTCACTCCCGACCAGCACCTCGCCGTCCCAGTAAGCCAAGGGGGAGAGAAGCAGACTGCAGGCAGGCAGCTGCGTACACTGCCCGGGGAATGGTGCCCACTCGGGCAAGGCAGGAGATGCAACAACCCAAGAAGTAACCCGGTTTTCACTCACATTTGCAAAGCCCTTGCTTTTCACAGACAGAAAAGATGCGGTCCTTACCTTGGGAGGGATGCGTGAGGCTGGGTGCAGGCACAGCTGGTTCTTCCCACCAGCGACGGGCACCTTCTGGGGGGAGCGGGGAAGCCTAGCAGCGCCGGGGGGCTGCGGCCGGGGCACTGCTCCGGTGGCTCATGGCTCCCGGGTGCAGGGGGCTGCGGGGGACAAAGCACAGGAGGTGTCAGGACCCAAGCAAACCCAACCCCACAGCAAGCTCAACTTGGAAGTTAGGCAGGTGAAGAACTTTAAATACTGACTTTTTTCTGTATTGCTCTTATTTCCCCCCTCCCCATCATCAAGGAAACAGAAGGAGTCAGGTGGGACCTGCTTAGCTCTGGACACTAAGCAGTTGTGAATGCTTGAAGAGGTCCAGCACTCCTTGAGGGGCTGCTGCCAGTCATAGGGTGATATTTGGCAGCCATTCCCAGAGGGTGTTAGGGTGCTTCCAGCATCACTGGTGGGGATGGAAAGCAAGTACAGGCTTGCTTGGGCAAGCAGCACCCCTACCCACGCTGATGTACACAGCAAAAAACATGCAAGGGAAGGACACCCCCCCCCCCCCCCAGCTCAATGGGCCCAGCTGGGGGTCTCACAAGGCCAGGGGAGTTCTCCCTCCAGCTCCCAAGTCAAGCAGTCCCACTGACACCTTAGAAATACTAAGAGAAAGCAGGTCCTTGACTTGCTGATCCACAAGCACTCCTCCCCACCTCAATGCTGAAAGAGAAACAAGACCCTTTTTTGTTGGAGGAGATGGCACCTTCACCCCTCCTTGAACCAGCTTCACCTTCGCGTGCAGCACTATCCTCTCCAGCAAGGGTTCGATTTAATGCATTTATTTAGCTGTGAGGTCCCCAAGACAGAGCTCACATCCTTTTTTGCGTCTCAGTTTTGAGCAGTCAGTGTTTAACAAATTAATAATAAAGTGATGGCACCTTGAAAAATGGACTTTCCTGTCCTCAGAAAAGGGGCTGTGTCTCCCAATTACTCCGAAGGGCACCTCTTTAGACCTTACTGCGCGAATGGTATTTAGCCACAGCCGCCTTTCAATGGGAATGATGTGATCCTGCAACAGCTGCAGTCGAGTGTATCACATCTTAAGACATCCCCACACCGAACAGTGAGAGGGCAGGGAGGAGGAAGAGGGACGGAAGCAAGTGCTGTTAGCTTAGGTATTTTTTAGCAGCCATCCCCAACCTGAGGTCTGGCATCCTATCACGAGCTGCCAGTTACGCTCAGCACCGCTTGATCATGAAAAATATTCACAAGGTTCGCGGTGGAGGCTGGCAAATATTTGCCAAGGATTCTTCCAAATCTCCTAGCCTGCCATGCGCTTGCTGCAAATTTGTTTGCCGACTGTGGTCCTTGCGCTAATTTGCAAATGGAAAGCAAAGAATAAGACAGCTGTACCGCAAAGGGGAAGGTGAGCGAGGAGTAGCCTATTCCATGGAGAAGACAACTCCACCGACCCTAACGAGGGCTCGGTAATTAACAACTGCAGCACTGGAGTTCAGGGGGGTCTAACACCCAGTTCCTGATGCTGACAGTGGCCAAAGGAAGTGATCTCAGCGAAGGCAGCACCGGGGAGTGGAAGGATGCTGCTGGGGATGGTGACAGCTGTGTGTCAGCAGCACCGCTGAGGTATATGGGCAGTGATTTCCCCAGTCCCAGCTCCCTGCGTGGGCATGTTGCAAAGGGGTGGCGTGAAAGCATCCTCTCCCCTTCCCCGTGCCCCCTGGTTCTGCTCTCGGCACCTTACCAAGCTCCAGCCCAGGCCAAGCACACTGCTAATTAGCTGCGCTAATTAATCACAGTTTCCATTGTTTGTTCTTTTGTTCTCTCACAAACACCCATGCTGCTCAGCGTGGTAAACTGCCATGGCGTTCACGAAGCGCCAGCACGGCTGCAAAGCAAAGCTGGTGGAGCTGACCCCAGGGGACACTGACCGCCCGAGGCTGCTGCCACCATCCAAAGTCCCACCTATGGCCACCAGCACCACAGCCTGGTCTTTTCCTCTCTCCAGCCAGGGGATGGATGGATGGCTGTCCCTCCATCAGATCCCCCCCAGGGAGACACCCCAGGCTTGCTACCAGGAGCCGGCACCGCAGCCGGCACTGGCGCACAGCCCCGGCACTCAGGCAGCCATCCGCCTCCCCTCGGCTAATCCGCCCCGTGCACCAAAATCCTGCCTTTGTGCTCACCGGATCCACTGCCCGAGCATTAGGCACCCTTGATCCCAAGCTAATCTCTGGAAAGCTCCCTTGCTTGGGGGGGGGGGGGGGGGGGGGAATCAGCAGGGGGGGATCCTGTTCCCCAGGGCAGCCCTGATACCCCAGAAGCATGGGGGGCAGGACACCCCAGCTTTGACTCCTTGCTGGTGCTGACAGGCTGTGCCGGAGATGAACCTGACAGGCCATTACCTCTTTGCTTGCTCACTTATGTCAGGGCTTTTTTAAACCAGGTATTTTTGGGGAAAAAAAAAAAAAAAAAAAAAAAAGGACACCAAGTGAAGAGAAAAGAACTGCGAGTCAAAGGGAGCCTGTGTTGCTAAATACAGAGGAATCCAAGTCTGGAGTCCAACAGAGGCCAAGGTTTCCGGGCTTTGACACAGCTGACAAGCTGGAGCACAATGAGAAAATACGCACACAGAAATAGCCAGGCAGGATAAAGGATTTACTGCCTCTTTCACAGAAAAGAAAAGAATAAGCTTAAACACTCCATTTAGGAGCGGTAAAAAAAAAATTCTGCGGGAAGAATATTTGAGCACCAGGATTACCGGGAAGTGCAGAAAAACCAAATCCTGCCTGTCCTGGGTGCAGGAGGGGATGGTGCTGCAGCGGGGCAGCAGAGCTTCTCACCAAGCCCCCCCTAACCCCCAGCAACATCTTGCAACGAGCACACACACAAGCCAGGTTCCACTCAGATCCACATCGTCTGTCCCCTCCTGCCCTGCCCTGGGTCAGAGCATCATGGGGAGCCCACATCCCGGCACAGCCCGCTGCCATGCCCACATCTGCACACTCCCCTGCCCGGAGCACTTCTGGCAGCCAGATCACCCCCTTCTCTCAAATCCTTCTCTGGGGTCCACCGCCCCAGTGCCACCCAACCCAGCTAAGGAGGCTGGGGCTCCCTGGCTTTCAGACAGGCTCTTCCGTGATGGGAAGGCTCCAGGCTCTTGGCTGCCCTCTGTTTGGGGAGGAAATCACCTCAGCCAGCCACGGCTGGGGAGGCCTGATGGATGGAGAACAGGGGGCTTCAGGGAACAGCTCCCTCTCACCGCCTTCCCAGGTTTGTCCTTGTGGAAGAGGAAAGTGCTGAGTTCTCTGAAAGTTTCCTCCAACTTGTGATGAAAGAGAAATTCTCTGGAGGAAGAGACGGGAACCCAGTTTCTCTGATGAAAGTATTGCAGTGGGATTTTAGTTTGGGATTTTTTTTTTTTTTCCTTTTGAAAAAGACCAGCTAGAATAGAGCATTGCAGCCAGCCAGGCAGAAGGTCTTACCCTTTCCATGGCAGGAGACCAAGTCTCCCAGCTGGATATTAGGACAGAATCTACCCCTGGTCCTGCTGAGAAGCAAGTCAAAAGCCAAAGCCATCATTTCTGGGCTGAAACAGTGCAAGATTCACAAACCCACTCACGCCCCAGCCTGGAAGTGCCAAAGCAGCTCAGACTGTAGTTCTGAATCTCCCAGGTGGCTGGAAGCTGCTGGTGGGTCATTTAGCCCATTCCCCTTGGAGACGAGGGATTCACTGTGCCTAAAGTGTGCCCAACAGCTACGGTCAAGCCTGGCCTTCAACGTCTCCAGCAAAGCCAATCCTACAACCTTCCTTGGCAGCTTACATGCAGTTTAATTACCCTAATAGTTATGCATTGAGAGTTTTTTTGTAAAAAGCAGCTGATTTCTCAGCAGCAACAAATACTTGGGAAAGCTTTCTCTCTGGCAAACTCTCTCTATTGTTCATCTCTTTCACATAAAATGTTCCTAATGAAGGGGGAAAGAAGGATCTTGGCTTCTTTCAAAACAATCTGAAATATTATATTAAAAACATGCACTGAGTGTTGACATATTTAGTGCGTTGCTTTATAAAGTAAATTGCCCAAGCTCATTCAGAGCTTGACACCATTAAGACAGCACATAACTGTGTGACTGGGAGGATACTGCTGCAAGAAGTGCCACTTTGGGGAGGCACGGAGCACCTTGGAGCAGCCAGACAGCCCTGACTCTGGCTTCGGTGGGAGCTGAAAGCCACCAGCATCATCCAGCCCCCGAAGGGCAGGATGTACAAACACCACTTGACACACTAACGTGAGGAGTGCAGCAGGTTTCAGACCCGTGAATCCTCCTTGCCTAAACCCCCAGCTTCTCACCTAAGCATCTCCAAAGGTCTGAGGCTGGGAGGACATGGGATGTACCACACTAGGCTCTCCCAGAGATGGGCACCCATGATTTGGGAGCAAAGCCTGCTCTTCCCCTCACCATACCAAGCCCAATCTCTTGGAATAGGGCAGAAAGTCTCAGTTCAGTAGGTTTTGAGCGAGAGACATCTGGGTTTCTCTCCATTTAAAAGGAGAGAGGAGGAGCCAATCTGCCCTCAGTGCGAGCACACAAAAAGCTGAGCACTAGAATCACCAAAAGCCTACAATTTCTGCTCAAACTTCAAGCGAAAAGGCGTTCAGCAATACAGCCTCCAGAGCTCAGAGCCACCAGAGCTCAGCCCTTCCCACTGCAAGCGTGAGGTTCAGCACTCAGATCAGGCAGCTGCCTGCAGAGGCCGGCTGGGTTCCTCTCCCCGCCTGCTGTACACAGGGTCCCTACAGACCATCCGTCCTCTCCCTCTGAGCATCTTCGAAGTCCTCAAGGCTCCGCTGCAACAGGATTTTCCGGACGTTGAACTGATGCTCAGAAAACAAACAGACATAGAAAAAGCTTTCATTACAAGGCTGGTTTGTGTCCAAGAGCAGCTCGGGGGCCAGGCTAAGTTAGGCAACAGTGCCTTAACAGCCTCTTGCCGGAGGCTGGTGTGAGGTATGGCTCTCTGTGGACTCATGGTCCATGCCAGCTCCACATTTGTTTTGCAGGAGTAGGAGAAATGAGCAGGTTTTCTGGCACATTGGCTCTCCTCCAGGAACCGAAAGTTTTGATGCTGACAAAGCCGCTG